TGCTGTGTTTAGAGGTCTAGTTTTAGCTGTTTAAGCTGATTTATTATACTCACGGATGGACGTTGAATTGCTGATGTACTTAGAACAGGGATTTTGCTAAAATGATGCCTTGAATCTTTTAAATGGGCTTTTCTTCCTTCTGTTATTAATCTATTATTTTTATTATTATCTGGTGCGGTTTGCGATTGCATTGGTTAATTTGTTGGTTTTATATTGTTATACAAAAAGGCTAAACTAACGGATTGGACTATAGTAAAATGATAACGCTCTTTTGTTAATAGGGCGTAAAAAATTGTTGTCGGCTGCAACTTTTTCTATAAAAGCAAACGCCCTAACCAATAAGACTTGCTCGAGTTGGCTTTTGGGTTTTGTTTGATCAGGCCAAGGGCCCGACCGTCATCATCCCCTCCGCCCTCCACAGATGTCGGTGAACGGCTACAGTTTTCAGTCGCTGTTATCGCAGCAGATAGTTTGATCAGGCCAAGGGCCCGACCGTCATCTTCTGTAATACTCTTATACCTTAAAGGAAGACGGTAAACACAACAGTCACTCTTGGACTTACTCAGCTAACCATCATGAGAGTACAAATCCTGCGTGATAATATTTGCGAGCTATTGATATGAAAGCAGCGAAGGCATCCCAAGTGCATAATTTCTCTGTACTCTTGTCTTTGCGAGGAAACATTAGCAAATGAGCATGAATACACATCTGAAACCAGGAAAGGAGAAAACGTCGAGGGAGCTAATGAAGAGAATAGATCGCCTGGTTGATCTAATCATCCCTTATAATACCACTCCACGGAAGAAATTATCTTATATAAGCTCCACAGTTCACCATGCTAAGCTCTTTCATGTAGGTTTACATATAACTAGTCTAGATACTTTCTACACTTCCAAACTATAACACCACACAAGAACGCAAGTTTTGAACATCAGATGATCAAAACTGAAGAGAAAACTGCTCGGTCGCTGAAGTATGAAACAACATTGATAATTTGAAGACCAAACAACATTGATAATTTGAAGACCTTTACCGCATTCTATATCCTGTAAGGGGGAGGGTACACCTTGTAGCATAACTACCATATCACAGCCACACTCTAATCAGAATGTAACATTCAGAATCCAAGCTAGAATACCATAATAATTCTTTTACTACTATCTCAAGGTATGTAGAGCATGAGAAATATGAAACATCAACTTGGATGATACATCATGAGATTTTTTTAGTCCATTTCTTGGGAACATTTGCGCACATACGAAATGATGCTAAGTAACGCTATCAGGACTCAGGAGTCAGTCATGTAGTGCAAGAAGATTCACATACTACTCTACACAAAATCAATGCTGAATCTAGATGAGAGACTGAATGTTATAATGAATAAAGTGAATGTTGAAACTGAACTTGTTATCCTCTCTCTCTCTCTCTCTCTCTCTCTCTCTCTCTCTCTCATATTCACCTATTTTCTGACTTGTTTTCTTCTATGTTCACATCTAGATTGTTTTCTTCTCCATTCACATCTAGATTGTTTCTTCTCCGTTCACATCTAGATGCAAGCTAATAATCCCCTTTAATCCCAATAATTCTCAACTTAAAAACCCCAAACATCACCTGTGGAATCTAGCAATTGTTACATTAGAAGCCCAAAACTTTGAAGAAAATAAGGATCTATGAAAACTGGATCCTACAAATAATAACTCACATCCATAAAACATCAGTACTAGCATCCTTCATCTCCACAGCACAAACACAAACACATGCACATGCGCGCGTGCACAGAAGGCCTACAAAATGTCAATCATGTTAAATAGCTTAATGAAACGAGATTCATAAGCAAGGGGGATGACTTTTAAGAGAAAATCAGCAATTTCCGTAAACCTAAAAAATTGAGACAAATAGCAGTTTAATGTGCAGTTTTTGTCCATTCCCTGCAATCAATGAACCTCCAATTCTTCCTTTGTGTCCTCATAAGCATCAACATTGATCAGCCCACTAAGTCCAAGGATATACCACCTATTCCTCTTCCACCAATAATGGCTCTTATGACAACTCAAATACTAGACGCTAGTTTACTTTAAGATATACAACTATATGATTAAGAGTTGAGCTTATGCTTAAAAGGGGGTATGTCTGTCATTAATATAAATGGAAAAATTGGTAGTTGGATTATGTTCAAAAGAGGAGTACGTCAAGATGATCCTTTATCTCCTCTTTTGTTTGTTTTGGCAGCTGATTCTTTCCACCAGAATGTTGAATTTAGTAGCTAAGGCTTCTCTTATTGAAGGATTGGGTCCTAACAGTATGAGTCAGAAAGTTTGTTGCCTTCAATATGCGGATTATACTCTGATTTTTTGTAAAAACAAAATAGAACAGCTGACAATTCTAAAATTAATTTTATATTGCTTTGAATCAGCATCTGGTTTAAAAATAAACTTTAATAAGAGTTTGCTTATTGCTCTTGAGGATAATGAGGTTTTGCAACATAATTTGGCTGGTATGTTGAATTGTAAAAGTGGAAGCCTATTACATATCTTGGAGTTCCTTTGAGACCTGAAAAATTAAAAAAAGAAGATTAGTCTCATTTAATTGAGAAGTTTGAGAGAAGATTAGCTTTATAGAAGAGAAAATCTTTATCAAGAGGAGGAAGATTAGTGTTAGTTAATGCAGTTCTTTCTTCCATGCCAATTTTCTGGATGTCATTCTTTTTACTTCCTGTGTGGCTTATTGATAAAATTGACACAATGAGAAGAAGATTTCTGCGGACTGGTTCTTTGGAACATAAGAATTCTTCTAATTTGGTTAAATGGGAAGATGTGTGTAGATCTAAAAAGTTTGGTGGCTTGGGTATAATAAATATGAAAATTATGAATAAAGCTTTGTTGGGGAAGTGGATTTGGAAGTGGTTTGATAATAAGATGGATCTGTGGAAACAAATAAGTTTTTACAAATATTTTGAGAATAAAAAGGAAGTGGTTTGATAATAAGATGGATCTGTGGAAACAAATAAGTTTTTACAAATATTTTGAGAATAAAAATTGGACAGAATACTTTTATTCTGGATCTGTGGAAACAAATAAGTTTTTACAAATATTTTGAGAATAAAAATTGGACAGAATACTTTTATTCTGATAGAAGATTCTTATCACATTTCTGGAAGAATTTTTTTGTTAATGCTGAAAGCTTTTTGTGCAGTACTCGTGTAGAAGTGGGGAATGGAAATCAAACTCTATTTTGGCTTGACAAATGGACATGTGCAAATACACTGGCTTCTATGTTTCCTTTTCTTTTTAATATTGCATCTTCCCCTTTTGCTTCTATTAGCAGTTTGAGAAAAAAGATAAATAATGAATGGATTTGGGATATTCAATTTCAAAGGCAGTTGACTGGAAATTTGGTTTTCCAATATGTTAATACGTTGAACAATATGATGCTTGCTAATTTTGTACACAGGGAGGACAAGAGAATTTGGATTTGGGAAGCAAAAGGCAAGTTTACTGTTAAATTTTTTTTTTATCAATTTCTTATTAATGGAGGTTTAAGATATGATTGCACAAATCTTTGGAAACCCCCTGTTCCTTTAAAGGTGAAATTTCTGGTCTGGTTGGCTTTAAGGCATGGATTAAACACAAAAAAAAAAAAAATTGGAAAAGAAAGGGGTTCATATGGATTTGATGTGTTGCTTTTGTTCCAAAGAAGAGGAAAACCATCTTCATCTTTTTGGAAAATGTGAGTTTGTATATTCAATATGGAGATCTATTCAATATAAATTGAAAATAAAAAAGATTTTACTTTGTATTCTTTAAAAGAAATTTGGAATACTTGGACTAAGGAGGAGAATGACAGTTGGAATATTGAAAGAGATGTGATTATTTGTTCTCTTATTTGGTGTATTTGGCAGGAAAAAATGATAGTATTTTTTCAAATAAGAGGATGAGATCACTTGAGTTTTTGGGCAAAATTTTGACTTTTGCGAAATTTTGGATAGGTTCACAGATGGTATCTGATCGTGCAGCTAGATTGCAAGAGAGGAGGAGGAAAAGGAAAAGGATTTTTGCTGCAAATGCCAGAATTCCTGTACCTGTTGTACCTGCTGCTGGGAGTGCGGTAGATACGGTGATTTTGCTGGAATGAAGGCTAATCCTGGAAAAGTGAATTTGTTTTGTTGTTTAAATATGAAAACTTTGTATAAGTGTTGGTTTTATGCTACATTTTATGTTTTATGCTACATTTTATGCTATGCTGTTGATAAATGATAGCAGGGGAGGGGAACTGGGGCAGTTTATTGTAAATCATAGCTGATTTAGTGTACACATTCTTGGTTGGGGATGTGTATTATTTTGTAAAAAAATTTGTTTAATTTAGCTAACTGGATTACTATTTTGGTAATCCATCCTTTTTCTCAAAAAAAAAGATTAAGAGTTGAGCTTTAGTAATACCATTAATCAATTTGCACTTAACGCTAGCATCAACCAGTACACCCATTCCTCCCGCAACAACTACAAAGTATTTGATCATAAGCATCAATAATTCCCGGTAATCCAGCAAAGCCCAAACAAGTGATATAGTACTAAAGCATCCAATAATAGCTCATATGCGAAACATTCGAACACATAATAGTTTACAAGATTTAGCGATAACATTATGAGCTCAATTACGCCACCAACCAATTCAAGCTCAAGGTATATACTCACGTTTTGATACAATACCATGACATAAAAAAGCAAATAACAACATAGCATATAAAGCAAATAGAACTTACTCCACAATCTGCATTACTTCCTCTCCTCCCGCTTTCGATGCTTGCTTTTCTCATCTGACTGCTTCTTCCTCCTTGCCGTAGTCTCATCGGATTCACTACTACCCAAATCGCTCTTCCTATGTCGCCCATGCCTTCGTTTATGCCTCCTACGCCTATCTCTCTCGTCCTCCGACCCCTCATCAGAATCATCATCATCATCCTCCCTCCTCCGATGATGACTCCTCCTCCGCCTCTTCTCCTTCCTGCTCTTCCTTCGATCCTCCTCATCCTCATCCGAACTTGAATCCCTACGCCTCCTCCTCCTATCTTTCCTATCCTCACTCTTCGACTTCTTCTCACCTCTCCTCTTCGACCTGCCCCTCCTCCTCTCCTCCACCTCCTTCACCTCCGCCCTCTTCTTCCCCCTCTTCCCGCCGAGCCTCTCCGCAATGATCCTCTCCATCTCCGGATCCTCGTCCGAATCCTCGCTATCGCTCTCCTCCTCATCCTCGCTCTCGCTCTCACTCCCCTCCTTCCTCTTCTTGATCTTATCAAACATCGCGTTCGCCCTCTCGATCGCTCCCTCATCCTTCTCCACATCCTCCTTCACGCTGAGGAAATTTCGACACTGGAACGTCAAGTGGCCGACCCGGCCGCACTTCTTGCAGGCGCCACGTGTCTCGTCGGCGTTGGATCCGGTGATGCGAGCGAGGGCGAGGAGCCCCTGGAAGCTGGCGTAGGCGTTGTCGGATCCGGGTTCGCCGTCATCGGCGGCGATGTTCGGATCGGATTTCGAGGAGTTCGGATCTTTGTCTTTCGTGGAGGGAGCGTAGGGATCGTACCCGATGGCGCTTTGCCAGATCCCGTGGGTTTGGAGGGCGGCGC